TCTAAACTAATTTTACTCAATCTTCGACAAATATCTTTAAAGAAAGTGCACGAGGGGGAAGAATAATGTGCACGCATAGAATAATACATTAAAGATTTCGGCTGAACGAATGTTTCCATTTTTATCACATTACAGCGCTTTTTCCTTTGCGGAATTTAAGGATTCTTTTGGCTACTGTCATATTGGAAAAACGTGTAATCATTTTTTGTACTTATTTTTATTAACATTGTTTCCTTCATTTTTTGACATTTTTAAAGTTTTGTGCAAGCTCTATAACTGATTGGCAATTGACTAAGAACATTTATCCGTTTTGTGTCAATTACATCCTATGTTGTGAATCAAGAATTGAAAGACTTCCTTTTTACAATATTCTGCAAAAGGCTTGCAATCGAAATGGAACAAAACATTATCAGGTGTTTACTGTTTGTTTTCGTTAAGTCGATGCGTCTACTTAATATTTCCTGCCTCTTTCTTAGTAAAGCGCGACTAATGTAATAGGGAGAACGTTTTCATTAACTTTCGATGACTTATAAGCACAAATAGATCTTGTACAACACGCCAATCAAAATTTCATGTTTGCCTGTGTGTGACGGAAGGTTACAACTTTGGCAAATACAGTATATGGCAAACGTATTCCCACTGTCTTTCAAAAAGCATTTTTTAAATAACGGAATAGACTTGAACCTAATCGACCGTTGCCGTGGAGTCCAAGGTTGCGAACTCACATTTTTGTTTGATTTCCGTTAGAGGAAAATCATGCGTTGTTGAACATTTAAGTATAGACAGCGCCTAAGTCTTATAACGACTCGCATTGTTAAACAATGCTCATCATAAATTAGAAGCAAATTATTTTGTACGATTAAGTACGCATTGCAGAACATGAAAATTGTTAAATGCTTCCTACCCCTTCGGTAGACTTACATGCCAGGGCCAGCTGTTTGGGTGGGCTTCCGTCTTCCGGTTTTGGTAGCGTTCCGGTGTCGTGTAGTTTGTTGAACGTCGCCCGCATTCTTGCGGCTAAACTCCCTCTTGAAGTGTCGCGAAAAAATCCCCCAAAAGGTCAGTAAGCATAGGCATATTATTTTATTCATTGACAGCCATGGCAATTTGGACTGACATAGATAAAATAGGTTTATTAATATGCTAAATGCCTTCTAAGTCAGCTTGGTGTTAAACAACTATTCACAAGCTGTCGAGTAAATTTCAAAAGTATTCAGCAAGTTTTTTTTCTAGTTAACACGTAAAGGCACTTTATACCCAGTATGGCGATCCAAAGATAACATCCACCAAGAAAATGGAGAGTGAACTACATTTCGGGAAAGACAGCTGAGGCGTTTTGATGCAAAAGCAGATCTTGACAGTCTTTTCAATGAGGGACTCTGATGGCATCGATGTCAACCAATAATAATGAAGGTAAACAATTTTCAGGAAACTCATAGATCCCCATCTACTTTATTTGTCAAAAGATGCACCATTTTCTAGCACACGTTTTAAACAAGCAGCGGGCTATGAACTCAACCAAGGCAACCATTAGTTGCCAAGCAAGTGTCAATAAGTATCGATTATTTTGACAGAAATAGAAAAACCTCAAATTTGAAAAAGTCAGAATTCCAATTAACGATGGAGGCGGAAAGAAATAACCGGGTTCTCTTCGTCGATGTCCTAGTGCGCCGTTGTTCAACTGAACTACTGCAAACCACAGCATCCAGAAAAGCCTCCAACACGAAACAAATCTCCACTTCAACAGCAATCACCCTCTGGCCCAAAAACGTATCTGCGTTCGTACTCTTTTCCCAAGAGTTGAAATATATTGCAGCAAACAAGCTGACAAAAGAGTCGAACAACAAAACCTACATGACCTCTTTCGGTCTAATGGACACCCGACACGTTTTATCAACGAAGGCAGGCACCGATGGAACAGACGACGGGCAGTAATACAGCACCCCGAAGTCTGGAGGGACATTCCCTACATAAAAATAGTTTACAATGCAGTCTCTTTACCGCTAAAACTCACTTTAATAGGTAAAGCCTACCTAAATCAGGCGACAATACGCTGCCGAGTGATGCAAACTAAAGGCAGACTGCCCCCTAGTGAAAACCACGCAGTTGTCTACAAAATAGGTAGCAAAGATAGTGACTGAAATTACGTTGGAGAAACAGCGCGCAAAATGCGCACTTGCCTACAGGAAAACAAAGCGGCTGCCGGAGACCAGAACCTAACTCACCGCTTGCCACACATGTCTGAGAGACTGGTTACGACTTCGATATTCAAGAAAGTAACATCGTAAACCGAGGAGCCTCAAAGGCTGAAGGTTTGACGCTTGAGGTATGGATCTCAGACGCCATCTCTGTCAACAGGCATCTGGACATTCCCGCGGCCTACAAAACCCTATGCTATTACGTAAGTAAAGGACACGATACGGCCAAACCAAAGTCAGGACTTGCAGACGAAGATGGCACTGTGGCGAGACCACAAAATAGGGTGTAGGATTATCCGCATACTCTAACATGGGGACGAAACAGAACACCAACTGCTGCCACGCCAAGCCTAAATCCACACGCACGGCCAAAGAGCGACCAGAGGAAAATCGTTCAGCCCGGGCCAACAGGCACAGCGGCAGGTTTAAACTTGCTGATCGATAAAGCCACTATTAGGTTCGATAAAGGACAGCAGGCCCAGCTGCCGGAAACGTTAGCAAATCCGCAAATTTATTCAGGTGAACAAATAATGAGTTCTTATAGGGAAACCTTTCTGCGTCTTGGTTAAAGAGCCTCTGTGGTAGTGCATGCGGACTGCATGCATCCCATAAAGAAAAAAATCAGACAGCGGAGACCTGATTAGCCCCAATGGTGGGGATCCTGAACAGAACAGCTTGTTTAACGAACATTTTGAAGCTAAAAACATGGAGCAGGCTCTACTTTATGACACAACGCGACTTACTGGTGTCAACTTCAAAAATCATGGATATTCTGCATTTTTTAAACGAAAAGGAACTGCACTGCGTGCGTAACCAGTGCGAAATGGAACCAGCAGTAGCAATTTTTTAATGTGGAAGAAAAATATTTAATGTCATTGTGATGTGGGTAGGGAAAGTGACGAAATATGTAGGCAGATGCTTTTCATCAAATACGGTATACGAATTCGTCAGGTTATTTGCTAAGCACGTCACGCAGCCACTTCGATATACCAAGAACGGAACACGGACCGGCGGTGGTTTGCAAAATTTATCAAAATCGGTGAGTTAGTTTTAAGTTACAGCTTGGCATCACCCCGCAATACAAGATTTAAGGTTCACCAGCCCTGCCGAGGTTGCCTTAATTTAATATCTTTCAGCCTTCTGCCTTTCTTATCAGGTATGGCGTTAAACTGCAACAGACTTCCTTCATGGACCCGTTTGCAAACGGGCTAATTTCACGGTGACGCACGTCAGATGCCACCGTTACAGCACTTGTCACACAAGTTCTACATCAGTTCTACATCGATATCCCCCATCAGTTACGATCTAGGACATTGTGGCTGCAACCGTACGTGTAGAA